TGTGAAAACTGCTTTGACAATATTCGTTGACAAATACCATCCAACAAAACTGACATCTGACTGTGAAAGTTCTTTCAAATCAGACGATATTAAAAACTATCTGCGTTCAAAAAAATGTAAACCAATATTTCATTGTCGACCAAAACCATTCTGCTCTTGGTGTCATTGACGGTTGTATAAAAATGTTAAGACTTAAACCAACCACAAGGTGGTGAGGTAGATGAAATGTCATATGACGACAAATACAGACATTTCTCCCTGGCAAAGATGAGACAAGTTTTAAATATTTACAATAGCCGTAAACAAAAAGGTTTGGGAAACCACTCCCCGAAGAAATGAAAAACAACACCTGACTTAGAGAAAGACTATATATTTAATAGTTTTAGTCAAAAGAGACAAACAAGAAAGAATGCCAGGCTTCAAACTTAAGAAAAGGCGACAAAGTAAAAATAGAAATACCTAAACGCGACCCATATGAAAATACTATTGACTATGACAACAATGGGAACCCGACAGGTACTCACATTCGTGTTCGTAAAAATAGAAGAAAGTATACAAGAGAATATTATGAAGTTTTAGGCAAACATGGCAAAATGTACAGACTGCAAGCAGAAGATAAAACTACTATTGTCAGACCTCGTTTCAAACTTGTCAAAGTTCAAGGTGGTATACTTTCAAAGACAGTTCCTAACAAATATAAGACAACTCGACGAATATGCTAAAGAAGTGGAACATGACGACTAAGCAATTCTATACCATGCACAAAACTGTCATGTAAGGTGGCATGTATTTTTTACCTAGTCCTGTAGATGTTGTTGTAAAAGTATGTTGGTGGTTTCCTCCTGGTTCAGTTTGTCGAAAAGTCTTTTTTGCTGAATGGTTATAATCTGGAGATAAAACGTCATAGCCAGCTTCATATTCTGAGTTGTAATGGATGGTCTCGTAATGAGTGGCTATGGTCGCCAGAAAAGTTTGTTGTACCAGAATGACTATGTGGTGGCAAGTTGTCGACAGATATCGTTTTACTTCCACCTGTTTTCTTTGGAGTGTGTGCACAATACAAAAAACTTTCGAATATTTGAGTCCAAGTTCCAAAACCAAGTACTACTTCTGGTCTGGTAGAGTTCATTGACGTATAAATAGAACAACTGGGTAAATGGTTTGAAGTATTTCTGTCTTTAATGTTTGAAGCTCTGTTTTGTCTGCTTTCTTGTCATATAAATCTTGAGCAGTGAATTTAACTTTATTTTCATCCTCCATGACATAAACATCTCTACATCTAATGTATCTCATCGTTGTTATGTCTTCTTCCGATGTTAAACCTTGTGGAAAGTTAGGAGGTTTCCAATCTAATACATCCCACCAGCTCCTTCAACCGTTCCTTCAATATTTTCTATACCAACAGTTTGCGAAGAAATCGTGTGTATGTCCAACGTCACTTTTCCTGTTTAAGGTTTCTTGTAAGTTTGTAATATTTGCAATGGTATGTGTATGGTTCTTGTCAGCTTTAAGGTCTAAACATCCTGAAACCCACCCTGTATTGGCTTTACCTTCTAAAATCTTCGATGTCCGTTCATGGTACCATTCAACCCTTTTTATAATTTCATTGTCTTTTTCATCCACATATTCCTTATCTGCCTTCTTCACTAACCCACTAGCCAGATATGCTAACTCATCGTCAACATACTCTTTGTCAGCTTTCTTTTCAACATCCTCTTTTGTTGCATATGTTGCATCTGCTCTGTCATGTTCTTCTTGAACTTTTTCAATGACATACTCTTTGTCAGCTTTCTTTTCAACATCCTCTTTTGTTGCATATGTTGCATCTGCTCTGTCATGTTCTTCTTGAACTTTTTCAATGACATACTCTTTGTCAGCTTTGTTGTCAATATCTGCCTTCAAAAGAAGTTCATCTATAGGTTTCTCGTTTAAAGTTCTTTTTGTTGGATTTATACAAACAGTATGGTTCTTACTGTCTTGAAATAGAAAACTCGTCTGTCAATGGGTTTAATGTCAGTTTTAAGTTTCCTTCTTTCAATGACTCAGATATCTTAGAATAGTTTTGAAAAGTTTGTTGTGTTCTTATTTAGAGCTTGCAAAATGAGTTGTCGGTTGTGTTTTATTTCTCTCATAGACGCTGTTTCTTTCGACATTTTTATTCTAGATAAAATATGCTTTCAATAGAAAAAGAAAATTCAAGAGTTGCTACAACTAAACCATTAGATGAACTTTTTACGAATGTCGGTCAAAAGTTTGAGACAGAGACCGTAAAGCATGAAGGCTATCGTTTTGACTACCCGTTAAGATGGTTAAGAGACCCATCCGTCACAAAAGCTATTGGCTTTCGTAGAATGAAGTTCATTTCAGAAGCCATACATGGTTTCCCATTTACGGTCGCTTTTGAAGTTCGATACTATAACAAAGAAAAACGTACGTATGAGAAATTTGAACAGGGAAAACTTTTACAAGTTAGTTTGCTTGTAAACTTAGAAACAACTCTTCAAGCTTTTCAAGAAAAAATAAACGATATCTATCTCGAATATGCAAAACAGTACAACATTGACGAAGGAGAGTACCATCTCGATATTATATATGACAGGAAAAATGCAACTGTTAAAATCAATAGAATAGAAGACCTTGGAGAAGACGTTTATATTTCTACAAATATAACAACTTGGCATGGTATAGATTTTTGAGGATGTTAAATCAGCCTGCAGCATATCCAGTACACCGAACTTTTATGAAGTCGAAAACCCTAATGGAACATATGAAAATGTTTTCGACTCAGATGCTATTATAGTTCATGCTTCATTTTCTGGTGCACAAAACTCTTTTTTATGCTTGGCAAATGACTTTTACGAAAAACCTACAAAGCTATATGAACCACCAAGTGGAAGTATTTCAGACTTTCAAGTATGGTTTACTACAGATGGAAGAAAGAGAATAATTCCATTATACCACGCGTTTTACTTAGAACTTAGTTTCATATACAACTACTATCGAACGGTAAAAATATAATTTTAATACGGTTGAGGTGTTGGATTTGGTTGCCAACTAGACTGTGGTGCAGGTTCAGGCTGTTGTATAACAGGAGCTTGTTCTTCTGGTTCAGGGTCTTTAGGTATAATACCAACGAACTGACCTACTCTTTTACCAATATTTTTGACACCGTTCCAAATTCCTTTTCCGACAGATTTTATTCCATTCCATATACCTCTTCCAACATTTCGAAAGAAGTTTCCTATCTTACTGAAGAAACCCATTTTACTATATGTAAAAATCTAATGTCCGCCTAGTCTCTTACGTTTCCTTCTGAGTTCCATAGCATTCTTTAACTGGAGCTCATACATTCTGTTTCTCCTCTGGTAGAAAACATATTCTGGGTCAACTCCTGTGTTCGCGTCATCTGCATAAAGTTGTTTATATCCCACTTCAGGGTTTGTATAAAACTCTTTCCATCTCATATTTGCATACCATGGTGGCAAACCTAACGCAGCGTCATTTGACATGGCAGTTTGCATTTGTACATCTGTTGGCACTTGACCATAGTTTGCCATTGCAGTTTGTATTCTAACTTCATTTGGAATATTCTCTGGGTTTGGTTGTCCAGGTTGCTGTGCATTCGCTAAGTTCTGTGCGTCCATTTAATATTAGATAAAAATATCTCTTACGAGTACATATACTGAACATTTGCAGGCATTGGTTCATCTTCATATTCTCTGTACTTTTCTGCCACGTCAAATAAGTAAATGACACAATGGAAAAAACCTAAAACAAGTAGTCCTATTTCAAACCACATTTACTTACCAATAAAATTTCTTTGTTATGACACTTTCTCCAGTTTATAGGACCTCTCTCATATTCTATCTTATCGTATCTAAACTCATAGTCATGTATGTCCTCTAACCATCTCATAACGGTTTCCAAACCACTTTTATCGGATGTAAAGTAAAAGCATGGATGGTTATGTAAAACGTCTAAAGTTTCTAAAGAGTCTCTCAAAGTCCAGTCTACTTGGTATTGAAAATCCCATGTGTTATAGAACGGCGGGTCCACTATAAAGAAAACATTTTCCTTGTCTTTATATTTTTCATACAACTCTGTCCAATGACATCTCACAAACTCTATACCCTCAATATATTTTTCTATGTCCTCTTTGAAAACATTTGTATAGTTAAGATATAAAACTTTTGACATAAGTGTTTCAATGTCATGAACTCTTATAGCACCACTATATAATAGTCTAGCAGATATACTATCCCAGTCTATATATTCTGCTTTTTTCAAAACCTCTCTCACAATATTTTTCTTATCTAATGGTATACGTTCCATCTTACCTATAGGTATCTTTTCTTTTAACTCTTTCAATATATTGTTTGTGTCTGGTATATGTTTGAGACGGTCCATATAGTTGTCGAAGTCATTGCATATAATCTTTGAGTCTGGAAATATTGTATGGCACAGATGGGATATATAGAAACTTCCACCGAACAAATCTACAAATGTTAGACCATTCGGTAGTTTCTTAAGTTCTCTCAATATAATATCTTTACATTTACTCTTATTTCCAAAGAACGGTAACGGTGGTTTTGTAAAATTCATTTATATATAATAATAAAAATGTTTTTACCCTGAAAAGTGACAGAAAAGTGACGACTCTCAAAAATTTCTTCGGGGCTAGAGGGCACGAAGTGCCTGGAAGCCCCATTACCTTTTTTTTTTTTTTTTTTTTTTTTTTTTTTTTTTATTTATTCACATTTCTGTAATTGAAGATCAGGTCATATTGCCAATAGTACCTCCAATAAAACTGTGAAACATAATGATTTAAATTCTTTTGGTTTTCCAAAACTAACAATTTGAATGTGATGCAGAAGGTTTATACACCCAAATAGGTTACTTTAGAGTTAGACTATTCTAATATAAGCAGGTATAACCTAATATATTTTAATATTTGAATGTGTAAATTTAAAGAAAATGTATTATATTATAAAAAAAATCTTTTAGATAATAACAGCATGTAAACCAAGAGTATGAATGAATTCACCACTACGTGCAGCAACGCATCCGTTGAATTCTCCCTTAACTGACGTATCCAATTTAATTTCTACAACACGTTTTCCGTGGCTTTCTATGTTAGTTTCATGAGTTTCAATTGAAAATGGACTTTGTTCATTTGCTCCTTCAGCTTCTTTAGTTTCCAAGTTAAAATGTCCGTCATCAGCAATGCCGCAATTAACATCCACGTAGTTTCTTCCATGCACAAAGTTTGCAAGTGACCATTGTACATCGATAGGAGCGCTAGAGAAGTTAACCAAAGAGATGCAACGCGTGATAACTCCTTCTCCAGCTTTAATTCTTTCTCCGAACGAAACGAAATCTCCAGATGGATGTTGTGTGTATCCGAATGTGTGTTTCTGGAATCCGAAGAAAGATCCAAGAGCTTTAACATGCAAAGGAATATCAATCTCTTTGTATTGCCACAAATCTCTTATGATCAACTTCAATTTTCCATTGTAATCACCGTGTATTTCGCTGTAACATGATACAGGAATTGTTACTTGCGAATTTCCAGCCAATGATTTTACAGAATTATCTCCAAGCGTGAAAACTTTGTTGCAATCGTTCATCATTACGATTCTTGCTGTAGAAGCAACTTGGCATTTGTTCTCCACGTGAATCAATGTCTTTGACTCGTTGCAGATAACAAAATCGCTTGAGAAATCGACACTTCTTGTAATTAATGTAACTTTTGGTGCAACAACATTTGCAATTACAGCAACTGTATAAACTTTTCCTAATATCTTTATCTTGATTGGCATTGCTCTTTCTCCTAATTCCGCGAAGCAGACTTTGAGTTTAATTATCTGTTCGCCACCTAATCCGAGTTGTCCGACAGCTGGAGATGCTTGGACGTAATAAGAAGAATCAACTTCTTCGTTTTCTTCTTCTTCGGAATTTGAATTCCCTTGGAGTTTAAGATGAACTGTTCCACTTGGACATTCTACCTCATATTTCGTTGGGAATGAGTTAAGAAGAGAGATCTTAACTTCTGCATCGTAAACAACTGTTGGATATACTTCTCCAATATCCACAATTCTCTTATCAATTGAAATAATGGGGCTGTCAAAAATTGCGAAAACAGGAATTGCGTATGTAGAATGTGGCAATCCTTCAATTGGAGTTCCATTTTTATTGGCCCACCAAGTGTGCAAAGTAATGATATCAGAAAGAGCTGTCTGAGTATCATACTTGAGATCCATTTGCACTGTTTCTTGGCTGTTTGCGTTGACAACTCTCTTCGGTCTGTCAACTTTCCATGCTGGATCATCTGGATATTCAATGACGAAACAAATTGGACATCCGAAATTGTTGATCAATTTCAAGTTATGTGTTGCAACTGTTCCTGTAAGAACGGATCCGAACTCGCAAACAGGAGGATCTAAAACCAAATTCGGCTGTAGAACATGTGTTGCAAAAGTGAAATTCATTGGAGTTGAATTTTCCGCTGGAATTGGTTTTACTTCATCTTTAGATCTTAATGAATCATCCTGCATGTCAAGAGATAATTGTAAGTTTGTGACTGATGTAGATAACTCTGATTTGGATATTTCGGATGACCAATGTTTGAGAGCGAAGATATTTGGCATTTCGTCTTTTTCTTGTTTTTCTTCTTCCTCTTCTTCATTTAATGGTTTTTCTTCTTCTGTTTGTTGTTTTTCTTCATCTTGGAACGCGTTCATTGATAATGAATAATGTCTTGAACTTGGTCTTGCTTCTCCTGGTGTTGTACATGTCATTGCGACATTCTTTATTGGGCTTCTGTTTTCACCTGCCAATCCAATTCTCTTCGTCAAATTACAGATCAAATCAACTGTTGCTCTGTTGTTTGGAGAAACATTGAATACTAAAGGAGAAGGTGAAATAGTATTCGATTTATGCCATTGTAGTTTGATGTCTAAATTACTCTCGTTGACGACATCAATCGCTTCTGTTGTTTCGACATGAGGAACAACAGAATTAAACAAAACTAATGGTGGTTGAATCAAAACTCGTGGTGGTCCTGTTGTGCCTTCAGCAGCTATTGTTAGCATCTTCCTGTTTGTCTGCTTGCCGGTTTCGTCTGGTATCCTGTTTGCCGAAATAACAATGTTTGCTTTATAAAATGCAAACATTTTCGGCGAAAAAGTGACACGAAGAGTAATTGTATCGTGAGCACCGACCATACCAGCGAGAGGAGAGACAATGAAGGGTGGAGGAATGTTCTTAACTGTTTGTGTGTTCGTTCCTGGATATAAAATGGCAAGATCTGATCGGGATCCTTCTCTTGGAGATAATATTTGGGCGTAAAATGGATATTGGACGTCGGCTTCGTTGTGGATCTCGACAACACGTGTTGTATTGACATCTTGTGGAAGGAATGGAAGGAATAAACGCTTGTCTGGAGAAATTGCAAATTTCAAGTTTGGAACTGCAGCTTCTCCTTCTGCAAGGAATGAAAACTTCTGTGGGAAGTGTTCTGCAACAATTTCGAATGAGGCTGTGTGCTTGCCTGGCTCTACAGGTCTGAATTTAACTTCAATTTCCTTAGATTCTCCATGTTGAAGCTGGAATTGAGATGGAATTAATGTGAATGATCCATTAATGAACATCATGTTGTCATCGCGACCTGTTGCCGATGAAAATGAGAAGAATGCAATTCCACCTTTGTTTGTAATGGTAAATTTGCCTGGTTTAAGAGAATGTACAAGTGTGGCTCCAAGATCAACAACATCTGGATGTGAAAGGTTCGGAGGATCACGATAACAGTGTAATTTGACAATTGTTGGTGGAGCGCCGTTATCTGGAATGAAAACAATCTCTTGATCGTAGTCTTTAGGCTTTGTTGGTTTAAAGTTAACTGTGAATTTGATGCCAAGGCCAGAAATTGTTCGTGAACTAACACTACTTTCATCAAACTGAACAGAAAAGGCTTTCTTCTTAGGGAATTTGACTTGAAATCCATGCGTCTTGAAATCGACGTTTTGTAAATAAAATTCTTGCGAATATAATTCTGATAAGTGGAAATTGACAACTTCCATCTTTTCTGGTGTGCATTTGAATACTGGCTTCAAGTTTTCTGTAGAAGGTGATTTCTCTGGAATAGATTTCTGTGATTTTTCCATTGTTCTTGCAATTGTATTCTTTTGTGGAGTCTTTGGCTTAATGATACGTGGTGACTTTTGTGTTGCAAGTTTAGTAGTATTAATTAATGATGGTTTTTCTGGAATATTAATGACTATTTTTTCTGGATTTTCAACAATTTTATCATCACTTCCGCCTCCAGCTGTAACACCAAGGCTAACTTCAGATATTTTAGGTATTTTTAGCAATCTTAAGTCTGAAATTGCCTCTGGATCGTTAGCTTGTATTTTTTCAATAGATTCGTTGATTTCGTTCATTTCTTTTTGCATCTGTTCGACAAGCTTTTGCTCATCTTCTTTGGGCTCTGTAACAGAGATGTTTTTGACGTTCCAACTCTCGATGAGATCCGAGAAATCCCAGAAGTCAGTCATCTAACGTATCAAAAAAGTGTCAATCGTTAATTAAAAATGTAAAAATCTCCAAATTCGTTGATAAATCTATTTTTGAAGCAATATAATGCAATAGTCTCATATAATTGTGTAAATTTGATCTTTATTTATGAACGAGAAAATATTAAATCCAAGCAGAAAACCACAAATGAAAGTCGTTGTGATCGACTTAGGTTCAGATAGAATAAAGGTTGGTATATCGGGTGATGATATTCCTCGCCATTTCGTAAAATCTGTTTTTGGCACATTAAAAACTTTTGATATCAAAGGGCATAATATTGATTTTTTTGTTGGACAAGAAGCGATAGAGAAATCAGATCCGAATTCACTCTATAATCCATTCAAGAACGGCTATATTACGAATCCAGATGATATTGAAAGATTATTTCACTATATCTTCGAAAAAGAAATACATATTAATCCAGAAAAGAAATCAGTTATTATATCTACACCATTAAATGGTCCTCAATCACAAAGAAATATCATTGCAGAAATTTTATTTGAAAAATATAAAATTGGATCATTACACATATCCACACCAAATACTCTTGGTATGTACACTACTTCGCGATTTACAGGAACAGTTGTTGACTGTGGAGAAAGTTTTACTGAAATTGCCTCGATTTATGACATGCTTACAGTACCTCAGGCTTCTATTGTATCTGATATTGCTGGATCCACTCTAACTACTCAATTACAAAAAATTGTCAAAGATTCAAATTATCTTTTTGCTAGAGCTAACGGAAAAGAGCATGTCCGTGAATTAAAAGAGAAAACATGCTTAGTTCGAAAGAAAAATGATGAAACTGAGTTACCTCAAATTGATTACTTAATTAAACCTGAAGTATCAGTTAAAATAGGTGATGAACGTGCAAAAGCAACAGAAGTTTTATTTTCACCAGATAAATTTGGATTGAAAGGAAGAGGAATACCAACATTGATATTTGACAGTATTATGCGTTGCGATATCTCATTGCGGCATGAATTATTTGGAAATATTGTTCTTACTGGTGGTACTACACTTTTGGAAGGATTCCAGCAAAGAATTCAAGAAGAATTACAAGAAATTTTGGAATCCGAGCATATTAAGAGTCAAGTGAATGTTGTTGCACTTGCAAATCGTGAGTATGCATCATGGATTGGTGGATCAATATTAGGAAGCTTAGAATCATATCCAAATCTCTTGGCTTATAAAGATGAATATCTTGAGCTCGGAGCTTCATTAATTGCAAGTAGATTTTATTAATTATTGTTGTACTTAAACTGTTTAGTTCTTTATTTTTGAATAAATTTTGTTTTTACAGAAATTTAAAAATATAATTAAAAAAATCTTGAATTGTAAGTTAATAGATGTTGCTGTTGCATACAGTAAGATTTTTATTTGCCGAAAACTAAAGCGATCTCACGAGCAGCTGTTGCTGGAGCATCAGAACCGTGGCAAAGGTTCTCTGTTGTGGAGCGAGCATAGAGGGCACGAAGTGAGTTTGGTGCCTTCTCAACAGCGACTTCCTTCTTTGTCGGGCCAATGATTTCACGCCATTTGGCGATAGCGTTTGGACCAGCGAGTTCAAGAGCGACAATTGTGCCAGATGTCATGTATCCAGCAAGATCAGCAAAGAATGCCTTGCCAACGTGCTCAGCATAGAACTTTGAAGCGAATTCCATGTCCATCTTCATTGTCTTCATTTGGACAATGTGGAGGCCCTCTTCCTCAATGCGATCGATAACTTTACCCCAGTACTTTTCATATCCTGGTTTAATCATAGCATAAGTATGCTGTTCTTCAGCCATTTCAACTAAAGTGAAGAGACCATATTTCAAACAATTTTTCGGTTTCTCCAAAATTTGATTTTTCATTTTATTATTTATTGAATAATATGTGAATAATATTTAGCGATAATTAATCGTTTTGTGATTCTCAATTTTTAATCTATATTCAATTTTTGTGAAAATAATTAGCCTGACGTTCAATGTTTATTCAAAATTGAAATAATCTGACCACACACTTAGTTTTGAATGCCAAACGATGAATCACCTATTGCACATGTATGAATATATAATATTTTATCGAATCAATGTTCTAAAATATAATAAATCGTGAAAAAATATAAAGATAAATGTAATTTAGGCAATGTTTGTATTAACATCAGAATAATCTAGGGAATAGCTTGCTATACCAAATAGAGTGTGATCCAATCTGTCATATTCTACACTTTTTTGAATTCCATCTCCAGGATGTTGATGCATAATTAAGTGAAGTACATCCATAATAGTCAACATTTTCTTTACCAAAATAGCTGAAGACTGATGTAAATATATCGCAAGTCTTATAGTCGCAAATACCACAATGCATTCGGTTATTTGGATATATCAAAACCAACCAAGAGTATCAATTTTCATAATGATAATTATCATGGCTTGGAATATAGGCATTTCTTTGGAGATATTGAATTATCTTCAGTTTTATTATAATTTCTACCATATAAATGTGATTAAAGTTAGCTTCATATTTATTAAAATATAAGAAATTCAAAACATAGCACAACACTCATGTACATTGATTGAAAAATAGATGAAATTTTTGTGATTATATTCAAATATGAAACATTTCATAACAAAATAGAATATAATTTTTGGTCTATTCCACCAAGTAGTTTGAGAGGGCTAACTTAGTTCTCTATTGAATGGAATACTGTCCAATAAATTTCATCAATATGCGATTTGATGTCGGAAAAATTATAAAATTTTATTATGATTTACTGTACGATTCTTGCGTTCAATGCATTTTGGAAGTATTTGCGGCTTGTATATCGTATTTAGATTTCCTAATCTCTGGATGGAAAAATCCATCTGTCACTTTTGGACAAAAATTTTTTATCATGGCTGAACCATTACTCGGCACATTCGACGAAAAAGCATACAAGAAGCGCAAGCACTGGCGTATTGATGTTGAAGAAGAAGCTCGTAACTGCGCTGGCAGTGATAATGTTATCTTAGCTTCATACTCTGATTTATTGCAGCGCGTTTTCAACTCAATGCAAAAGAACCCAGAAGATGATAACCGCGCCCGTAAGATCGCCTTACCAAACCCACAAATCGATCGTAAGGGTAAGAAGACAATTTTCGCCAACTTTACAACAATCTGCGACCAGCTCAAGCGTTCCCCAGAGCACGTTAAGCAATACATCAATACAGAGCAGAATGCAGACTCATCAATCGATGGAAATGGCGCTTTGATTATCTCTGGCCGTCTCCAGCAATCCCAAATCGAAAAGCTTATGCTTAACTATATTCTTACATACGTTCAGTGCCCAGTTTGCCATAGCACTGATACAAAGTTAGAAAAGCAGAACCGTCTTCAGTTTATCAAATGTAATACTTGCACAGCTCAGCGTGCTGTTCAACAAATTAAGGGTGGCTTCGTAGCAAATACAAACAAGCGCTCTCGCCGTTAATTTTATCACGTTTTCTTCTAATAATAAAATTAGAAATTTTATTATACATTTTTTATTAACTTCAAAATCTTTAATATATGATCTTGTCTATCCTTCATCATTGTGACAAAACATATTACCTATGACAAAATTTTCAAAAGCACGCTGGTATTCAGCGTTATAAGCTTCAACAATCATATATTTTGTTTGGCGTAAATTATTTATATGTGCGATTGTATTTAAATACGTGCAGGAATAAGAAAGAATTAATTTTCATTAAACATTCCTCTCTTATCATAGTCATTTAACATACATGTAATTAGTACAACTGATCCATGGTGCTTTTGTTGAATTAGTTAATCAAAATGTTGTAGAAATGTTAAAAAAAAAAAATTAATAATATATTCTAAATTAAATTTTACAAACAAAATAAAATAATCATTCAAGATTAAGTGGTGGAAGAGTTGGTTTAAAGGTCTTATAGAGCGCCTTATTATTTTCATCAGATAATTTAACATCTCTTACTGCAAGTTGCAATTTAACAATTTCTTTTTCTAAATGTTTCATGTGCTTGGCCAAAATAGGGCATTTGTCACAAACGATGTTGTAATAATCATTTAATTTTTGCTTTTTGTCGCTGTTTTCTGTCATTAGCTTCATACAATAGTCATTGATCTCGTGTACTTCTTCTTGATGCTTTTCAGCTAAGTTCTTCATCTCTAATTCGAAATCAGCAACTTTCTTTAGCTTATCTTCATCAAATTGTTCCATTTTCTGGCGTATTTCGGCCATATGCTTTCCTTCTTTTGATCTCAAGATTTGTGAGTACTTGTTCTCTTGCTGAGACAATTCTTTGTTCAAATCATTTTTGAGACGTTCGACCATTGATGCTGTTTCGCCTCTTAATGTGTCTTCCATAGCCGCATTTGCTGATTCTACGACGAACAAATCGTTTTTCATGAACTCCAATTGTAGTTCAAGCTCATTTTGAATCTGATGAAGTTGGGCCATTCTTTCATCGTTCTTTTGCTTCTCGCCCAATATTAATGGTTGGAATTCCTCTTTGATCTTCTTCTGGATTTCGGACTTGGATTGGTCCAAGTGCTCTTTTAGATGGAATAATTTGTCTTCAACAGCTTCAATTTGCTTGGCTCTCTTCTTTAGTTCATGTTCATTGACTTCGAATTGAGATTCTAACTCCGAAATCTGCTTTTCTTTCTCTTCTACGATGTTTTTGAGATCAGATAATTCTTGTTCACTCTTTTTCTCAGTTTCTTTAACAGCACTTTGATATTCAACAGTTGTAGTTTCCAATTTCTGCTTTAATTTGTTGATATGGTCAACTGCTGCTTGGAAATCGTTCTTAGATTCATCTAACATCCTCAATGCTCTTGTTTGTTCAGCACGCATCTCTTTTGTATCAGCTAAGAAGTCTTTTCGCCACATGTCTAATTGAGAATCAATAAATTGTTGGGTGGCAAAGGAAGGTCGAACTCTGGCGGTTGTTACGGGCGTTCTTTGTGACGATAGATTAGATGTAGGGGTTTGATTTTGAAAACTTACTGCCATTGACTGAGTTTTCTTAACACCACCGCCATCTCTGTATGGGTTTGTTGATAAAGGAGATTCCATGTCTTGTTTTGGGAAAGAGAGCTGAGATAACTGAGTTTCAAGAGCTCTCATTTGATTTTCAAGATTTCTTTGCTCTTCTTCGTGGATTTTTCGGAGTTCTGCAATCTTTGCTTCAACAGCTGCTTGAACTTTCTTGTTTAATTCGTTCTGAAGACTTGATGCCAAAAGATTTTCTTCAGTTAAGAGTTTCTTTTTGTATTCTGCGACATCATTCATTGTAGAATTCTCTACTTGGTTATTTTCGGTAATAATGGAATCAAGTTCTGACCTTAAAGCTGTGATTTTAGAAATATAATATTTTTCTTCGAGTTCGCTCTTCTTTTTCGCACTATCTATATTGGCTTGCATCTTTTTCTTTATATCTTCTCTATCTTGGTCCCAAGTTGACTTAACATTCTCGATTTCTTCTTTAATTTTTCCTTTTTCTTCTTCAAACTCTGCAAGAACACGCTCTTGTTCAACTTTAAGTGCTGCAAGCTTATCAGAACTCGATCCTGACTTATCATTTATCTTCTGTTTCATTGCTTCAGCTTCTTGTTCATTTTTATCTCGAAGATTTGCCAAAGCTTCATTTAATTTGTCCAATTTTGTATGGAATTCTTCTTCAATCTTCTTTTTGGCATCTTCAACATCAGTTGGCCTTCTATTAATGATATCTTTGATATTTTTCTCATAAACTGTTGCCAAATTTAGTTTTTCCTCTTCCATTGTGACTCTTTGAGATTGGTATGTTGTATCTGCAACGCCAATTTGTCTTCTCAAGTCTTCTATTTTCATATTTAATAATTTTACATCTGCATCGTATAATTCGTCTTCATCTGCGAAATCTTCCTTCAGTTTCTTCTGTCTTTCTCTCCATTGCCTATCATATTCAGGTCCAAGACTCGAATGAGCCTTAAAAACTTCATTAAATTCTTTTTCTAATTCTGCAGCTTTCTTTTCATCACCTGCAAGCTTGGACATGATTGATTGTCGATGCTGGTTAAGAGTTTCATTGTTTTTCTGCTTGAGTTGTTGTAATTCGCTGTCTCTTGTATCAGTAATTTGCTTTAAATCAGCTTTTGTCTTTTCAAGTGATGTTTGTGTTAAATTAAATGCTTCTTCCTTTTGTGTAATCATTTTCTGGAAATGTTCTTTAAGTTGCTCGACTTCTGAATCGAATTTTCCGGTCAAAGATGATTCTGTTTCAGTAAGCTTCTGTTCCATTTGTTTTAACGTGTCTTTGTATCCATCTTGAAGCTTTTTAACTTGGTATTCGAGTTCTACTTTCTTGTTTGAGAGGGCGCCAGCTAAATCGTTTTTCGTGCTTTCAATTCCGTTCTTTAGACCAATTGTAGAAGCGTCTAATCGATCATTAACGTAATCTAAGTTGTGTAAACATTGTTCGAATTGTTTTTCATAAAGTTTCATGATTGAATTTTTCTTAACTTGAATAAAATTCATTAATTTCTTCTGTACAATAGGGGATAGTTCATTCTTTTGCCTTAATTCAGCAAAATTGATGAATTTTTCCTTCTGCGAGTAGATTAAATCATCAAATTTTGGAATAAAAGGGGAAATACTTTGGGAACTAAACGATGGTTCTTCGGATTTGGTTTTGAATACATCGAATACCTCTTGAATGAGGTTGTTTTTCTGTTCAAAAAATGTATTCATCCCCTAAAATCTTGAAATAAATTTTTAGTGTCAAAAAAACGTATATAAGAGATGTAATGTACCGCAGAAATTCAAGAGTGATACGACACTGATTTTAAATAATTAAAGAAAGTAAAGTTTGATTTAATTCATGTCACTTTTTATTTTTGATTTGGGTAATCATCTAACTTAGCTGAACACATCAATGAGTCAACTGGAAACACGATAATTTCATTTGACACATCATTCACAGGGAAAATTGAGGTTACATCACGAACATTCACAATAATCGAAAAATATGCTTGCAGGTTTGGAAATTGCACAGCAGTAGATTTAAGTAAATCAGCAATTGAGATTATAAGAGAAGAGGCTTTTGGTTATTGTAAATTTTTAACAAATTTTACTTTTTCTTCGAGTCTAAAAACCATAGAAGGAAATGGATTATTGTCATGTCCGATTTACTCCATTTTCATACCAACCCTTGTGCGTTCAATGTCAGGTTATTCGTTCAATCATTGTTCTAATCTGAATACTCTAGAAGTAGATAAAGGTAATCAATATTTTTGTTCAATGAACAATATCATTTTTAATAAAGATATGACTACGATAATTCGAACTCCGAATAATTTTAACTGTAAAATGATTCCTAATCGAGAAAATATTCAAAATTTAGGTATGTTTATGATGAGTAGCTCCATTATTGAAGAGTTTATTGGTTGGCCCAATATATCAACCATTGGAATCTATGTGTTTCATAGTAATCGTTTCTTGAGATTTGTTGATATTTCGATGACAAATATCACATCTATTCCTAGTAATTGTTTCAATACATGCGGAAAATTATCCAAGATCCACTTACCAGGTAATCTGAGCTCGATATCAAAATCAGCATTTATCTATTTGCATGTCATTAGAACTATATATACCTTTGAAAGTTGATTTGATTGAAGATAATTCTTTTGCATATAATAATTGTTTGAAGATGATTGTTTATTTTGGAACTACAGATTTTCAATATAGAAATCTCAGTATCTATTGTCCATTATTATCTGTTGCACGTGTCACTACAACATATCCTTCTTCAAAATTTGGATTTTTAGATGTTCAAAAGAATGCATATAAAAATGGAATTATTGAAGATATTTGTATTTCATTACAAATTCATTATTCCCATAACTTTTCTTTTTCCTTCTTTTTATCAATACTAAACTCTTTAATTATATAGATTTGATTTAAGAGATTATGAAAGATTAATCTTGTCTGACGAAGTTTTTTGAAAAAAAATTGTGATAGGAGAATTTAGAATGTAATCCTTTTATATCGATAGGTAATAGCATACAAAATTTGATGTTTTTTATTAAAGATTTGAAATATGGATTAATAATGATTAATCTTAAGGAGTTTAGAAGTAGTTTTGTTATCTCAATTAAATTGTAATTCAATCCTCTTTACTTTAGATAGAAAAAAAACTTTGATCGTTCAATTGTTTAAAGATGCAAGATGAAATGCGAATGATCGCGATTTTGAAAATAAAAAAGAAATATAAGTTTTAAATTAAAAAAATTAATCAATAAGATATGTTTTCAGATATCAGAATGTTGAATAATAAGGTCTATTCTATCTCGGCACCTCTAAGTATTAGGTATTGAGCCATTGCAGTATGATTAAGTCGAACTGCATAATAAAGTGGTGTATAACCATACCGATCTACATAATTTATATCAGCTCCAGAAGAGAGTAATAATTGTGCAACATCAATATGATTATGAATCACAGCGGCCCGTAATGGAGATTGAATAGAACTGTCATTCACCGCGTTATAAAACTTATCTAAATGATTGATATCGAAGTCCTTCGATTTGATATAATTTATTATTTCTGTTTTACCAGAATTAGATGCAATATCATATGGAGAATCCTCATCTTTATCTTGAACATAAATATTTGCTCCATGAGAAATAAGGAAATCGAACATCACCGAGTTATCTGTTTTGACAGTGTAATGGAGTACACTTAAACCTTGATTATCTTTAGCATTGACATTTGCTGAATTTTTAACAAGGAGTTTTACAATTTCTTATCTGTTTAAGTTAACTGCTATCATCAGAGGAGTTCTCCCTTTGTTATCAGCCAAATTGACATCTGCACCTAATGAAATTAAATATTCCATTATATCAATACGATTGTGATCAATTGCTCCAATAACAGCAGTCCATCCATCATTATCTTGTGTATTGAAGTTTTTAACCAATGGCGATAAATACTTCATGAGTTCGAGAGAATAAAACATAGATGCACTTGGAAAAATTTTGTCATAATCTCTTGTTTGTTCCATAAATAAAGCAAGAGATTCGATATTATTACTTCGTTGACATATATCTGGATCAATTTGAATTTTGTATTTGTTGACTAAAAGCATTACCAAATCATTATTGTATGAAAATATTGCATATTCCATGCACTTTTGATTTGGTTTTTGATACAACAAACATTCATTGATAATTTTGAGATTTCCGCTGAGAAATGAAAGCTTCAGACATTTTTTAGTTATTTCAGAATTGAATTTAGACCTCAAATACATAAAACATTCCACAGAACCATAATAACAGCAAAGCTCGAGATAAGAGAAATCCGGTTCTTCTACCATAAAATGGTTTGTTACTGTTTCATTTGGATCAAACTTTTCTTTGTTGGTGAATTCTTTACATGATTTAATATCATCATTCATAATTGCCTTCATGATTGTGTTGTCTCTAAAAACGCCTAAAGGAGGATTTAATTCATTCATAGCCTTATCAACATAACCATTATTTGAGTTTGCTTTAATTCCGTAATCCTTTTCTAAATAGTAGCAAAATGGCGATGAAAGAAGTTCATTTTTAGCTGTGGGATATTCATCATAAACTTTTTTGAAAATTTTAAAATATAAACTATTATTTTTGTTTTTATATGCAAATAGAACTGAATATAAATTAATTATTTGGGCAGGTTGGAAAATATTTGTTTTGATCAAATTGTTTTCAATCATTCCATAAATTTTGTTAATTTCTTCATCAGTTTCGATTTTTGCTTGATGTAAATCTTTGAATGTATCATGGTATCCTTTCATCATGCGCATTATTGCTTTGTAATGTGTCATTGAGATGGATTTGATGTTCATTGATTAAAAAAAAATTAAAATTGAAGCAAAAGTCGTAAAGTTAAAAAATCTATTTCAATGAGATTTAATTACAGTCTCTACTGATTTGATATGAAACCTATTGTTTATTTATTAAAAAAATACTTTAATTAAAAGAAATTCTCATAATTCAATAAAATTTCATTTAACATTCAAAATAATTATGACTTACACAAATATTTATCAATAAGAATGTTGTTAAATGTTCGGAAAATTGAAATAATTAACTTGAATTTCATATAAAAGATCAACTGTTATGATAATTGCCTTGACAAGATCGCACATAAAAATTGATACCTTTATAGTTTCTGAATGATATTTTTAGGATCTGAATCAATAATTTACTTAAAATTCAATTATATATCTATCACCTAAACTCAAAATTCTAGAAATGAAATAAGACATAGCACAAGGAACCAAAACATATTTGATTTGTAAATTATCTATAGTTCGATAACTTATATGTCACTTTTTAATTTTGATTTGGAAAATTATCTAACCTGAATGATCATATCAGTCAATCAAACGGAAATTCAATTATCAAGTTTGATACTTCATTTGCAGGGAAAATTGAAGTTACATCCCGGGCATACACGATTATTGAAAACTGGGCTTGCCTTAATGGAAGCTGCACAGCAGTTGATTTAAGTAGGTCGTCAATTGAGATTATTAAGGGTGCGCTAAAGGCCAAACTTCCCCTATCGTCAATTTTAAAAACATGAAAAAAATCCTTGTACTTTAGGTACCTCGAAACATTTATTTTTTGAGAAAAAATAAATTTCGTGATTTATGCTAGGTCGATCCTGGGCAAGCAATATATATAAGAATTTTATTGAAATCATGTCACTATTTCTAAATTTGAATTTTATCTCTTCCAAAAAACATGAATTATGAGTCATCGTACTTATTATAAGATATTCTATTATGTGTTTATTAAGATTTAGTATTGTGCACTAAATTTTTATGTATAAATATCAAAGAATAAATGCAATTATTATAAAAAATCGTCTTAGAGTTTTCTATACTGAAATATGAGTTGTCTGTAATATATCAAACAAAACGACATTATATCCAATGAAAATATATCAAAAATTAAAAATTAATCAAATTTAAGGGTTTGGAGTTTAATTTAGTAGACCTTATCTCGCAAAATTGCATTTGCTAGGATTGTTGTGCATATTATCATATGGGACAATAGCTATTACCATGAAATCAGATAATTTAATTTACAATTATGAGCACTTCAGCAATAAAAATATAATGGTGCATAATTATTTTGAACATTTAATATATTTCAACAATAAAAATTGGGGTATTACTCACAATTTTTTGGCTTTAGCGCGGGGTAGGATTAAAACAATACCGTTTATTAAAAAACTAAATATTGGGTATTTTTATGATTTTAAAGCAGTAATTGAATACCCTTTATACAAATCTATGAACGCGCTAATTTGTTGTAGAAAATATTAACCAGATAAATTTTTTTTTGAACGCCGTAGAAAAAACTAAAAAAAATCGAAAAAAAAGCATATTTTAGCCAAAGTTCCTCATTATACAAGATAATGATTTGTGATCACTTGTTTAAAAATAGAAGATCGTGCATATATGCTTTTAGTCCAAAGACATCTAGAATAAATAGCATCAATAAGAAGGACAGATCTACATAAGATTTCCGTGTAAACAAAGCGTTTTGAGAGAACTCATAGAAAAATTGAGAGGCTTTAGCGCACCCTTAAAGAAAGTGCTTTTAGTCGATGTGTAAATCTAACATATTTCACTTTTTCGACTAATTTAAGAGCTCTTGCGTTAAATGCATTGGCGCATTGCCCAATAAGCTCAATTTTCATACCATCGACTGTGCTAACAATGTCAGGCTCTGCATTTAATCAATGCCTTAATCTGAATACTCTAGAAGTAGATAAAGCCAATCCAAACTTTTGTTCAATAAATAACTTCATATTTAATAAAGAAATGACTACACTAGTTCGAACTCCTATTAATTTTAAATGTGAAATGATTCCTAATCGTGAAAATATTCAGAACTTAGGTGAGTTTATGATGAGCGGGTCCACTATTGAAGAGTTTATTGGTTGGCCAAATATATCAACTATTGGAATCTATGCGTTTCATGTTACACGTTTCCTGAGAAATATTGATATTTCGATGACAAATGTGACATCTATTCCTAGTCATTGTTTCGAAGTTTGCTCACAATTAAATAGAATCCATTTACCAGGTAATCTTTCATCCATTTCCAATAATGCATTTATTTATTTGCATGTCATTAGAACTATATATATACCTTTGAAAGTTGATTCGATTGAAGATAATTCGTTTGCATATAATAACTGCTTGAAGATGATTGTTTATTTTGGAACTACAGATTTTCAATATAGAAATCTCAGTATCTATTGTCCATTATTATCTGTTGCACGTGTTACTATAACATATCCTTCTTCAAAATTTGGATTTTTAGATGTTCAAAAGAATGCATATAAAAATGGAATTATTGAAGATATTTGTATTTCATTACAAATTCATTATTCCCACAACCTTTCTTATTACTTCTTTATAACAATACTAAACTCTTTACTTTAATTATAATATTAAATTGAAACAATTTTCTAATGTACGTAATGAAATAAAGCTCTTTTAAATATTTAATAGTGTGTTATATGTTATTAGCATATGTTGGTTCTAAATCGATAATAAAGGACAATTTATGCAAAATCAATTATATTTTTATCAGCTGAGCCTAGGATCTTTGAAATGAAATAACAAGGAGCATAAAACGCTAAAATATAATCAATTACACGATTTTGATTTTCTTTAATTTTATGAAATCTCTTTTATCAAATTAATTTTAACATAATTTTTTTATTTTTTTATATTTTTGTATTTTTTTTTTCATATCCAAAAGTCCAAATAATGATTCTCAACTTTAAAATCATGTTGGTAATACATTTTAACAAATTAATGTTTTTTAAGTGGAAATAAAAAAGATTCGATCAAAGAAATTGGGAATAAAGAGATATTTTTGATTAAATTTATACCAAATTCTAAAATGTGATTGCAACGTTATGTTATCTGATATTGGTAAATTTAGTCTCAAATTTTTTATAAATTAGACTCTGTAATTGTTTTCATGCTTGAGAAGTGCCATATTAATGTGTTTGAGGACAATGTTGGGTTATCAACAATCGATGACTGTTTAAAAATCTTCGAACCTTCTCCTTTTTGGTCTTCTCTTCCTTATCGCGAAGCTGAATTTGAAATTGTTCACCAGTTCATAAATTCATCATTCGAATCACCAAATCCAAAAGTGTGTCACATACATGGCGAAAAGGGAGTTGGAAAAACGTCTACAGTTCAGATTTGCTCACTTATGAGTATATATTATACAAAAATTGAATTTTTAGATATTCAACTATGGTGTGATGGAAATTACATACCTAAACATCCACACGAACGCGGTCTTGTCGTAATTGATTCACCCTGTAAAGGGATGATAATTCCGATGCTAAATTATTTCCTTTCAATCAATTATTCGCTTATAATTATAACTACAGACTCTATCCATGTTGAAAATTTCGATCAATACGTTACATCGATAATACGTTTTGGCTCGTATGACAAAAATGCTCTTAGATATATACTCTGCGATAAACTACGACCTTTCAGTAACCTCATAAAGCAAGAAGCAATCGATTACATCGTAAATAGAGCTTTTGCTTGCAATGTTGGCTTACAGGGGGCATTTGAACTACTAATTGCTTCACTGATCAATGTAAAACAATCCAATCAACCAAAACTTGATCAAAAATCCGTTGAAAATACATACTTTCATTTAATTGAGTACCCTGATTGTCAAGAATTCGACGATCAACATATACAGTACGGAATATCCCTTGGTTGTTAGTTTTTCTTTGTTGTTCTTGAAATTTTATTATATCTCAATATTAAATACATTTTGTTTGAATAAATATGATAAATTTTAGTTAGTTGTGTAATGGTAGTTATTTCATTGCTAAAAAGTTCCATAATTTTACATCAATTTTTCTTTTATCCTATTTATTTTTGTTTAAAACGCATTGTTTAGTTTAATATTAAGTTATTCTTAATAAAACAATCCCAAATCAAACTATTTTTATAGATTCTAATCCAAGACTCAATTTTGATAAGGCGTTCAGTATTTTCTTAATTAGATCATCAACTTGAACAAACAAAAATCTGCACACTCTATTATGAATTACAATTTTTAACTTAAAAATTATTCAATGTAGTAATTTATGCTAATTAAGTGGGAATGTAACGTAATGTACACATCATATTAATAATCCATTTGAATGAAACTGGGTTTTACAAACATTGTATACAAAAATGATAGGAAGTGAAGTTGCAAATTATGATATTTCATTTCATTAGATTTCTGTAGAGACAATATATATAGTCCAAAAACAAATCGTTTAAATATATATTAAGTCAAAATGACTTAATATTATATATGTTTATATTTTAGACCTTCAAAAATCTTTCTAGACTGTTCCCGAATTAATTTCAGTAATTCTGGGTCAGTAATTCGAAATCCTCTGTACAATTCATTCTTCTTTGGGCAAACTGGTCTCTTGAGGATCATCTTTCTCCTGAGAAGCTCAAGTTGACGCTTCCTCTTCATTAGTTGAGCCTGCTTTCTCATCCTTGACCACCATGTAAGATACTTGTTGAGTGGAGGATTTTGTGTCTTTGGCTTTTCTTCTTCATTGCTATGGTAGTCAAAGCGGAAAATTCCCAATGGTGAATGTAAGTCGGCCCAAAAGCGCCAGTTATCATCATCTTCCTCTTCATCGGCATTATGATATCCAATTGTGAACTTGCCCCATGGTGAGTGATATGTTAAGCTGATGCCCCAGTTGTCATCATCTTCAGCTTCTTCTTCATTGCTGCGATAGCCAAGATAGATCTTGCCCCATGGTGAATGGTATGTGATTCCGATGCCCCAGTTGTCATCATCATATGTTTCTTCCTCTTCATTCTTATCGAATCCGATGCGGAGAGGGCCCCATGGCGTTGGAATTGGGAGCCAGATGTTTTCATCATCTGCATTGTAACTTCTGCGGAATGCAAAAAGTGGTAACATTAAAAATAATGATTTTATTCCTTTCAGAATTTTCATAAAAAGAGTTATCGGAAAATAGATAGTATTTCCATTTTTATAATAGAATAACCTAATATTAATTTTGAGGATCATGATCAATTTTGAATGCCTCCTGAAATTTAAGATAATGATATGGCAAGAGAATGTCAGGAACAATTTTTATTCAAAAGACTAACTCATCATGATCAGACAGACAAAATTTTTGATGATTTCGATTAAATATGTAAAAAGAATATTCCTTCTCGGATTTGAAACAAGAAGTTGAAAGAAAACGCGGCGGTTATGTCACTTCATATGGATAATCAAAAATAATTGATTACATCACATAATTATATCAGTAAATGTCTATTTAGCAGATATATAAGTTGAAGGTAAAAATTGATAAAAAAAGTATTATAGAGTAAGCTATCTTTCTAACTGATGGTCAAAGGTTTTCTGATAACTATATTTATGAACTAAGTATTGGTAAGGCTGACCCATTGATTATAGAACGAAATATGGTTTCTTAATTAATGATACAAAATTGGCGCGGTTCAATTTTAACGACATTTTTTAACGCGATACGAGCGTAAGTCCATAGAATGTGTTTTGAGGGAAACTATAAAAATCCAAAATAGAGGTAAGTGCGCCATTATTACCTGCGAAGTTACATGGAATAAATCGAAGAGTAAGTACAAGATGATCTTGCATCTTTCCAAGTAAATGAAATTTATTAAAATTAAGATGATAATATTCATTTATAGTATGTGTATGATGTTTTTTCAAAATTTCTTCAAATAAAATGCAATGATAATTTTTGAATAATTTTTTTCTTGTGTATATTTCATTTTTTATTAGTGAAAATATCATTACATCAATAAGGAAAGCACAATCCAAATTCATATTAGTTAAATTAATCTACGACCAAAAGCCCGCCAAATTTGAATTAAACCTCCAATTTAAAATTTTCAAGTCTACGGAACCATCCTTGGATCATAGTAATCATTCATTACAAAATGGAATCTTTTGGTATTGTGCGGGCGATACCATAGATTTCTTTTTATTGATAATGCTATTGAACAAGCTCATTCCGTGGATTTTCATTTAGAACTTTGTTTCATGAGTTTCTGGAACAATATAACATCTGAAACCTTTTGTGCGGGCAAAAGAAGGGATGTTTGTTGATTGAAAAATACTCATTTAAAAGAAGTTCTGAAAAGAAATTTGGAGATGATTTGTGGGTTGTGTAAGGTGTAGGTGTTGTGATATATGTGGAATGGAATGATCCTTACCTAAGTCATTGACTCATCCTTACCTCAGTCATAGACTCATCCTTACCTGAGACAACGACTCATCCTTACCTCAGTCATAGACTCATCCTTACCTCAGACAACAACTCATCCTTACCTCAGTCATTGACTCATCCTTACCTCAGTCATAGACTCATCCTTACCTCAGTCATAGACTCATCCTTACCTCAGTCATAGACTCATCCTTACCTCAGTCATAGACTCATCCTTACCTCAGTCATAGACTCATCCTTACCTCAGTCATAGACTCATCCTTACCTCAGTCATAGACTCATCCTTACCTCAGTCATAGACTCATCCTTACCTCAGTCATTGACTCATCCTTACCTCAGTCATAGACTCATCCTTACCTCAGTCATAGACTCATCCTTACCTCAGTCATAGACTCATCCTTACCTCAGTCATAGACTCATCCTTACCTCAGTCATAGACTCATCCTTACCTCAGTCATAGACTCATCCTTACCTCAGTCATAGACTCATCCTTACCTCAGTCATAGACTCATCCTTACCTCAGACAACAACTCATCCTTACCTCAGTCATAGACTCATCCTTACCTCAGACAACAACTCATCCTTACCTCAGTCATCGACTCATCCTTACCTCAGTCATAGACTCATCCTTACCTCAGTCATAGACTCATCCTTACCTCAGTCATAGACTCATCCTTACCTCAGTCATAGACTCATCCTTACCTCAGTCATAGACTCATCCTTACCTCAGACAACAACTCATCCTTACCTCAGTCATAGACTCATCCTTACCTCAGTCATAGACTCATCCTTACCTCAGTCATAGACTCATCCTTACCTCAGTCATAGACTCATCCTTACCTCAGTCATAGACTCATCCTTACCTCAGTCATTGACTCATCCTTACCTCAGACAACAACTCATCCTTACCTCAGTCATAGACTCATCCTTACCTCAGTCATAGACTCATCCTTACCTTAGTCATTGACTCATCCTTACCTCAGTCATAGACTCATCCTTACCTCAGTCATAGACTCATCCTTACCTCAGTCATAGACTCATCCTTACCTCAGTCATAGACTCATCCTTACCTCAGTCATAGACTCATCCTTACCTCAGTCATAGACTCATCCTTACCTCAGACAACAACTCATCCTTACCTCAGTCATAGACTCATCCTTACCTCAGACAACAACTCATCCTTACCTCAGTCATTGACTCATCCTTACCTCAGTCATAGACTCATCCTTACCTCAGTCATAGACTCATCCTTACCTCAGTCATAGACTCATCCTTACCTCAGTCATAGACTCATCCTTACCTCAGTCATAGACTCATCCTTACCTCAGACAACAACTCATCCTTACCTTAGTCATTGACTCATCCTTACCTCAGTCATAGACTCATCCTTACCTCAGACAACAACTCATCCTTACCTCAGTCATAGACTCATCCTAACTCTTGCAATAACATACATTTACTACAATGTATGTGAAATTTTCTCCCTAACTTATCAAATATCACTCAATTACTCAATTATTCTTTCTTAATTTAACTCCTTACCAGAACTTTACATTTAAATTCAAAATAATTTTATTATATTAAATTTTCAAAACCATATTTTAGTTCAATACTATTATAGATATAACTTTGTCAATAATGAATATTTTCGCGATTTGGATAAGTATTCATTGAGTTATCTAAGATTTTATTCGTGGGTATAAATTAATTAATATGTGAAATAATTATATAATAAGAGACGGATATCCAACACTCAGTCTCTCTTTGACATCCAACACTCAGTCTCTCTCTTTGACATCCAACACTCAGTCTCTCTTTGACATCCAACACTCAGTCTCTCTTTGACATCCAACACTCAGTCTCTCTTTGACATCCAACACTCAGTCTCTCTTTGACATCCAACACTCAGTCTCTCTTTGACATCCAACACTCAGTCTCTCTTTGACATCCAACACTCAGTCTCTCTCTTTGACATCCAACACTCAGTCTCTCTCTTTGACATCCAACACTCAGTCTCTCTTTGACATCCAACACTCAGTCTCTCTCTTTGACATCCAACACTCAGTCTCTCTTTGACATCCAACACTCAGTCTCTCTTTGACATCCAACACTCAGTCTCTCTTTGACATCCAACACTCAGTCTCTCTCTTTGACATCCAACACTCAGTCTCTCTTTGACATCCAACACTCAGTCTCTCTCTTTGACATCCAACACTCAGATAAAAATATTTAAAAATATAAGGAAATGAATCAAAAAAAAATATAATTAAAAAGATTTAAAATTTATAAAAAAGGGAAAAAATTTAATAAATGATTAGGAAGAATGTGATGTGAATGCGTACGGAATATATATAAAAAATTATAGTCTTGGATGTCAAAGAGAGACTGAGTGTTGGATGTCAAAGAGAGAGACTGAGTGTTGGATGTCAAAGAGAGACTGAGTGTTGGATGTCAAAGAGAGACTGAGTGTTGGATGTCAAAGAGAGACTGAGTGTTGGATGTCAAAGAGAGACTGAGTGTTGGATGTCAAAGAGAGACTGAGTGTGGATGTCAAAGAGAGACTGAGTGTTGGATGTCAAAGAGAGACTGAGTGTTGGATGTCAAAGAGAGACTGAGTGTTAGATGTCAAAGAGAGACTGAGTGTTGGATGTCAAAGAGAGACTGAGTGTTGGATGTCAAAGAGAGACTGAGTGTTGGATGTCAAAGAGAGAGACTGAGTGTTGGATGTCAAAGAGAGACTGAGTGTTGGATGTCAAAGAGAGACTGAGTGTTGGATGTCAAAGAGAGACTGAGTGTTGGATGTCAAAGAGAGACTGAGTGTTGGATGTCAAAGAGAGACTGAGTGTTGGATGTCAAAGAGAGACTGAGTGTTGGATGTCAAAGAGAGACTGAGTGTTAGATGTCAAAGAGAGACTGAGTGTTGGATGTCAAAGAGAGACTGAGTGTTGGATGTCAAAGAGAGACTGAGTGTTGGATGTCAAAGAGAGAGACTGAGTGTTGGATGTCAAAGAGAGACTGAGTGTTGGATGTCAAAGAGAGACTGAGTGTTGGATGTCAAAGAGAGACTGAGTGTTGGATGTCAAAGAGAGACTGAGTGTTGGATGTCAAAGAGAGACTGAGTGTTGGATGTCAAAGAGAGACTGAGTGTTAGATGTCAAAGAGAGAGACTGAGTGTTGGATGTCAAAGAGAGACTGAGTGTTGGATGTCAAAGAGAGACTGAGTGTTGGATGTCAAAGAGAGACTGAGTGTTGGATGTCAAAGAGAGAGACTGAGTGTTGGATGTCAAAGAGAGACTGAGTGTTGGATGTCAAAGAGAGACTGAGTGTTGGATGTCAAAGAGAGACTGAGTGTTGGATGTCAAAGAGAGACTGAGTGTTGGATGTCAAAGAGAGACTGAGTGTTGGATGTCAAAGAGAGACTGAGTGTTGGATGTCAAAGAGAGACTGAGTGTTGGATGTCAAAGAGAGACTGAGTGTTGGATGTCAAAGAGAGACTGAGTGTTGGATGTCAAAGAGAGAGACTGAGTGTTGGATGTCAAAGAGAGACTGAGTGTTGGATGTCAAAGAGAGAGACTGAGTGTTGGATGTCAAAGAGAGACTGAGTGTTGGATGTCAAAGAGAGACTGAGTGTTGGATGTCAAAGAGAGACTGAGTGTTGGATGTCAAAGAGAGACTGAGTGTTGGATGTCAAAGAGAGACT